AAAAAAAAAAAAAAAGAGATCCTCCTGCCTCAGCCTCTCAAGTAGCCAGGACTATAGACATGCATCACCACACACACCTGGTTAATTTTTAAATTTTCTGTAGAGACAGGATCTCACTATGTTGCCCAGCCTGGTCTCAAATGCCTACCCTCAAGCAATCCTCCCACCTTGGCCTCCCAAAATGTTAGGATTACAGGTGTGAGCCACCATGCCCAGCCACTTTCATTTTCTTTCTTTCTTTTTTGAAAGTGCAGTGGTGCAATCTCAGTTCACCACCACCTCTGTGTCCTGGGTTCAAGTGATTCTCCTGCCTTAGCCTTCCAAAGTAGCTGGACTACAGGCTCATGCCACCATGCTCAGCTAATTTTTTTTGTATTTTTAGTAGAGATGGGGTTTCACTATGTTGGCCAGGCTGGTCTCGAACTCCTGATCTCGTGATCCACCTGCCTTGGCCTCCCAAAGTGTTGGGATTACAGGCGTGAGCCACCATGCCTGGCCTCTCTTTAATTTTCTTACAGGTTACTTCTCCTGGACTTGAAACCCAACACAGAGTAATATTCAAAGTCATTAAAAAAGAATGAATTAGCTATCATACTGGTCTGAATAAACGTGATTAACTTAAATAACTCTATTACCACTCTCTGAAACCACAGTGTTTATTTTCAGTTCATTCTCCTGAGTTCTGGACGGTTGGGTGTGACAAAACTCCTGAAAAGAATATATATTTCAAGAGAACTAAACTACATACCACTTTGACTCATGGATATAAGTGTAAAACTCCTAAGCCAAATATCCAGAAAAGAAAAAAAAAAAAAAGAATTAGAAATAATAAATACAGTTAATTTAAGACAACCAGTCATTCAATAGAATATGATAAATTGTGGTCAGGTCTGGTCAATGAATTGTATAACTGAACTGAACCAAAATACATAGAGGTATGCACTACCATTTTGGTGCTCTTTAGCTGACAACACCAATCACCCAATACATGGTTTTCTATGGTATCCAGGTATGACTTCAGAATCTTTGTCAGCAAAATCCCTTAATTCACTACCAATAGTAAGCAGACATATTGCATTGCAACTATTTTCATTACTTGTTTTGCTTTTTTTTTTTGAGACTAGATCTCACTGTCACCCAGGAGTATAGTGACACAATCTCAGCTCGCGACAACCTCCTACTTTCAGGTTCAAGTGATCCTCGTGCCTCAGCCTCCCAAGCAGCTGGGACTACAGGCGCATGCCACCATGCCTGGATAATTTCTGAATATTTAGTAGAGACAGAGTTTCACTATGTTGCCCATGGTCTTGAACTGGCCTCAAGTGATAAGCCTGTCTTGGCCTCCCAAAATGCTGGGATTACAGGCATGAGCCACTGTGTCTGGCCTTCCCTGCTTGTTCTAATAATTAACAGCTAATTGTTTTCATAAAGACCTTAAACCTAGAAATTGTTTATTGGGCAGAATGATTCTTACAAGAGACAATTTTTTCAGAGCAGCAGGCAATTTCATAGCCACCATATCTAAACTTGGATCTATGTCTGAATGTCCATGGAATGAAGAAGCAATAGATAGTTCCTAGATGAGTAACGTTCCCCAGTAAACTCAATGGTAAGTCAACTCAATGGTAAGCATACCCTTATTTAATATTAATCTACTTTAGGCTATTTCTAAATAGGCTTCTACAAATAAATTATTCTTTTTAGTGATCTACTTTTTCTTTCATTAGAAATTTCAGCTGGTTGTTCATACAGAAACATTTTTTCTTTTTAAGAGACAGGGTCTCGCTTCGTCACCCAGGCTGCAGTGCAATGGCATGATGATAGCTCACTGCTTCCTTGAATTCCTGGGCTCAAGCGATCCTCCCACCTTAGCCTCCCATGTAGCTAGAGTCATGCGCCACTATGCCTGGCTAATTTTTTTCTTTTTGAGATAGAGTCTTGCTCTGTCACTCAGGCTGGAGTGCAGTGGCACAATCTCAGCTCACTGCAACCTCTGCCTCTCAGGCTCAAGAAGTTCTGTGCCTCAGCCTCCAGAGTAGCTGGGATTACAGATGACTGCCACCACACATGGCTGATTTTTTATTTTTAGTAGAGATGAGGTCTCACCATTTTGGACAGGCTGGTCTTGAACTCGCGAGCCAACAGCCCTGGCCTCCCAAAGTGCTGGGATTACAGGTATGAGCCACCGTGCCTGGCCAATTTTTTTATTTTTTTTATAGAGACAGGGTCTTGTCATCCGGTTGGTCTCAAACTCCTGGGTTCAAGTGATCCTCCCACCTTGGCCTCTCAAAGTTCTGGGATTATAGTGTGAGCCACTGTGCCCAGCCATATATACAAACATTCTAAGGAATGTTTTCCCTACTTAACCTGTATTCACAGCTCAAGTCAGTTCATCCTTCATAGGTTATTTGGTAAGTGATACATCTAAAAAAGTTTTTAAAAATTTACATATAAAATTAATTTAGACTAAAAACTTATAATTTGTATTGTTTCAAGTTAAGAAAAACAAAAATAAAAAAGTGTTAGCCTTTTCGGGAAGTAGACTCTTTGAAAAAAAAGTGTTAACCTTAGCTAGGCCCATAACACCCTAAACAATCCTTTTACTCACACAAAACCGCAATTCCAAATAGTCCATTCTTTCCTGAAATCATTTTCTTACATATACTTGTAATGGCACTTAACACCGTATACTTTGTATTATTTAATTAACTGCTTTGGAGGAGATAAGGATTTGAGTTTTTCAATTAATAATTTCAGCTCCTTTGTAACTAAAATTTATAGTTACATGCTGCTTTAGAAATAATGGAAATAAGGGAAAATATTTACTTGAACATTGTCGGGTTCTGTCTTAATTTCATCTAGCAGCCCCAGCCGTGATGCCTCTGCCTTGTCACATTCACCATCTAACAATGGTTCTTTCATTTCAGTATCTGATGCAAAGGAATCCTCCAATTCCAAACTAAAGGATATCTTCCTGAAGAACAGTTTCCAGATTCCTAAAATAAAATATTGATAAAGAGTTTGATTTTAAAATTAGTCCTTCTAAATATGGTAATTTTCTAGAACCACAAAAGGTCTTTAGACAGCTTGAAATCAGGTTCCTTCACTGTAAAAACACTGGCTTCTTTCCTTTCATCCATTTTTCAATATAGTTTTGCTCTACTCTTTTCTGGTAGCTACTACCAACTCGGTGCTTTCTTCTGGAAATAGTCTCCATTTCTGTTCCACCAAGCCCCTGAATGCAGCACAAAACCACCAAAACTTACAAGTTTATTTTTAACTTTTCAATAGTAGAAAATGTAAAGCTTTCGGTTCGGGGGTGGTTGCTTACACCTATAATCCCAGCACCTTGTGAGGCCAAGGCGGGTGGATCACTTGAGGTCAGGAGTTTGAGACCAGCCCGGCCAACATGGCAAAAACCCATCTTTACTAAAAATATAAAAATTAGCCGGGCATGGTGACGCATTTTCTCATTTTACCAGTCTTTTTCACATATACTTATTTTACCTACTTTTAAAATGTCTGTTCCTCAAAAGCACAATTCCTCAGTACTCTTCCCGCCTGCTCTATCATCTTGAACTCCTGGCTTTTAAAAAAAATAACCAAGTTGGCCAGGCACAATGGCTCATGCTTGTAATCCCAGAACTTTGGGAGGCAGAGGTAGGTGGATCGCCTGAGGTCAGAAGTTCAAGATCAGCCTGATCAACATGCTGAAACCCTGTCTCTACTAAAAATACAAAAAATTAGCCAGGTATGGTGGCATGAGCCTGTAATCCCAGCTACTTAGTAGGGTGTGAGAGAACTGCTTGAACCTGGGAGGCTGAGGTTGCAGTGGGCTGAGATGACACCACTGCACTCCAGCCTGTGCAACAGGGCAAGACTCTGTCTCAAAAAAAAAAAAAAGAACCTGTTGGCCAGGTGCAGTAGCTCATGCCTGTAACCCCAGCACTTTGGGAGTCCGAGGTGGTAGATGAGCTGCGGTCAGGAGTTTGAAGTAGCTCATGCCTGTAACCCCAGCACTTTGGGAGTCCGAGGTGGTAGATGAGCTGCGGTCAGGAGTTTGAAGTAGCTCATGCCTGTAACCCCAGCACTTTGGGAGTCCGAGGTGGTAGATGAGCTGCGGTCAGGAGTTTGAAGTAGCTCATGCCTGTAACCCCAGCACTTTGGGAGTCCGAGGTGGTAGATGAGCTGCGGTCAGGAGTTTGAGACCAGCCTGGTCAACAGGGCAAAACCCCGTCTCTACTAAAAATACAAAAAAATTAGTCAGGAGTGGTGGTGCGTGCCTGTGATCCCAGCTACTCAGAAGGTTGAGGCAAGAGAATCACTTGAACTCGTGAGGCGGAGGTTGCAGTGAGCTGAGATTGCACCACTGCACTCCAGCCTGGGCAACAGAGACTGTCACAAACAAACAAATAAACAAAAAACCAAGTTTTTTTTTTTTTTTTTTTTTTTTTTTGAGACAAGGTCTCACTCTGTCACCCAGGCAGTGGTATTATATCCTTTCACTGAAGCCTCGCCATTCTGAGATCAAGCAATTCTCCCACCTTAGTCTCCTGAATAGCTGGGACCACAGGCATGTGCCACCATGCCCATTTAATTTCTTTTTTTTTGCAGAGAAGGCGTCTCATCATGTTGTTCAGGCTGATCTTGATCTCCTAGGCTCAAGTGATCCTCTCATCTCAGCCTCCCAAAGTGCTGGAATGACAGGTATGAACCACCGTGCCTGGCCTATGATCACAGCCTCAGATTCAACTATCACCTATGGGCTGCTCTTCCCCTACATTCCTAAGCTTCGACCCATATACCCAATTCTCTATTAAATATCTCCACTTGAATGTTGAATCTCCACAGGTCCCTCAAACTCAAGGGGTTTGAACTCTGGTCTCAAGCAATCCTCTTGCCTCAGTAAAACGATATTCTTTTATTACCCCCACAAACCTGCTTTACAGATATTCCCTTTCTTTGTAAATGGCAGTGTCATATACCTAACTTCCCATGCCAGAAATCTAGGATTAACCTGGAATTCTTCTCCCTAAATCTAATCGTGAAATTAGATCAATCTACCTTTTATATAAGTGTTAAGTCTATTTTCCCATCATACATCATGACTGCTTCACCTTACCACCCAAATCAATAGATTGCTTTTTAGTCAATAGGCAGCTAAAATCCAAACTAACAATATACAAGACTGTTTTGCATTCAGGCTTTATAAAAATTCCATTTTACAATTTTTGAGGAACTACGAGAGCAAGATCTCTTTCAAAGACAGAATGGTTCCTTGTGTTCTTCTTTTTCCTTGACTGAGGCCTACTTTCCACTTTTCTAGTAGCTGTGTCACCTCTGATTCTAAATCCGTTGGAACTCTTTTCCTTCATGCTACCCTAGCTTGGCTTCAGAGTGCTTTGCTTCCTGTCTCCTAGATCCCCCGTCTTTGATCAACCCCAAGACAAACATCTACTCTTGAAAAAGGGCCTTATAAGCCAGGTGCGGTGGCTCATGCCTGTAATCCCAGCACTATGGGGGGCCGAGGCAGGTGGATCACGAGGTCAAGAGATTGAGATCATCCCGGCCAACATGGTGAAACCCCATCCCTACTAAAAATACAAAAATTAGCTGGGTGTGGTGGCCCATGCCTGTAGTCCCAACTACTCTGGAGGCTGAAGCAGGAGAATCACTTGAACCCAGGAGGAAGAGGTGCAGTGAGCCAAGATTAAGCCACTGTACTCCAGCCTCATTTCAAAAAAAAAAAAAAAGAGGGGGAGGGCTTACAACTAATTATTACGGAGGGCAGACAATAACTAACACGAATGTGGAGAAGTTGAAGTTCTTACAGGATCACTTAGAATAATGGGATCCAAAAAAGAAAAAAAAACAAAAAACCTCTTGCAGAAGTAATTCCAGGACTATGGTTTTATTCTGGCTGAGTACATGAAAGACCTAAATAATTCTGCCAGTATTTTTTATTTTGGGGATTGGGGTTCAAACACTTTCCCTCATTTCTATCCTTAATTCCGCTTTTGTTGAAAGTTCCTATCCCAGTGCAGGAAGTTAAACAAGGCCTGAGTGCAAGTGCAATAAATAGTTCATACAGCCTCTGTCCAGCCCATCTGAGCATTATACACAAGCAGCAAAGCAAAAATCACTAAAAATTAATTATACACAAGCAGCAAAGCAAAAATCACTAAAAATTAACTATCTGTCATTAGGTAGATTCCCTTCACCTAAAAGTAAATATCTAAACATCAATTAAAAACAAAGCACCGAGGGCCAGGCACAGTGGCTCACACCTGTAATCCCAGCATTTGGGAGGCTGAGGTAGATGAGACTAGCCTGGCCAACATGGTGAAACTCGTCTCTACTAAGGATAAAAAAAATTAGTTGGGTGTGGTGGTGGGTGCCTATAATCTCAGCTACTCAGGAAGCTGAGGCAGGAGAACTGCTTGAACCCAGGAGCCGGATGCTGCAGTGAGCCAAGATTGTGCCATTGCACTCCAGCCTGGGTGACAAGGCAAGACTCTGTTAAAAAAAAAAAAAAAACCCAAACAAACAAACAAAAAAAACAAAAACAAACAAACAAAAAAACAAAGCACCAAGTTTTGCGCAGTGGCAGTATCATAGCCAATGAGGTTTACATGAGGTACAATTATTGCTATTTGAACAAAACAAAATAAAATAAAACAAAGCACCTATGGGCTTTGGCATCTTGCAACCCCTTCAAAGTGTCATCACACAAACAGAAAAAGAACGGAGGCTGGGTGTGGTGGCTCATGCCTGTAACCCCAGCACTTTTGGGAGGCTGGGGTGGGCAGATCATGAGGTCAGGAGCTCGAGACCAGCCTAGCCAACATGTTGAAATCACATCTTTACTAAAAATAAAAAAATTAACTGGGAACAGTAACTGTATCCAAAAAAAAACCAAGCCAGGCGTAATCTCAGCTACTTGGGAGGCCGAAGCAGGAGAACCACTTGAACCCAGAAGGCAGAGTTGCAGTGAGCCAAGATCGCGGCACTGCACTCCAGCCTGGGCTACAGAACGAGACTGTCTCCAAAACAAAACTAAACAAAAACCAGATACATCCAGGCATAACAGAGTATCCTTTAGCATACTAAATCATTTCACTGGAATCAATTACAAAATTTAAAAGGCTTGACTGGTAAGGGCCCTTTCTAAGACAGAGTAGTAGAAACCCAAGCAGAAAACAGCCAGGAGACGGAGTTAGAAATACTGGGTTCTGAAGTAGCTGGAACTCAAGAAGCACAATCTGGGAGAGGAGGTAACCACAGAGGAATAATATGCATACAAATCTCCCCTCCTCCAAGTCATTAGCTGACTCCTAAACTGCACATTAACAGAGTGAGACTTCAAAAACTTAACAGACAACAGCAGTTAAAGGTCAAAGAGCTGATAAGAGATTATAGCAGCTATGCAGAGTTCAGAGTTGAAATTTAAGACTAGCAAGCTAAAGGGATTTTGGTAAAGACCTAGATTTCCGGTTGAAACTCATGGAGGGCCTTGCCCTAGGAGTAATGGCTATGCCCCAGGAGAAAAAGAGACCACTTACAAGAAGAAAGGACAAACTAAAATAGACCAGCCTTAACAAAGCCTATAATCAACCCTCAACAGGATCAATGTCATTTGCTACTACTATCCACCTGCCTAATGGCAACCTTACCCTGCTCTGAAGGAAGTACATCCAGATGCTAATAATGTTCATTCAAAATGTCCAGAATCTAGTAATAATTTATGGACCAAAAGTAATTTTTAAAATGCCAAAACTGACTGGAAAAAAAATGGCAATAGAAACAAACCCACAGGTGGCTCAGATATTGCTCTTGTCAGGCAAGGACTTGGTTGTGTTTCAGAAAACAGCAGAGAAGATGGAGAAGTTCTATAGTGACCTGGAATCCATAAAAAAAAAAAAAAAAAAAAGAGTTAAATGGAAAATCTAGAATTGCAAAGCACAGTGAGGAAATTAAGACTTCAATAGATGAGTATCAAATTAGTGAAGAACACAGGCTAGAAGGTAGACTTATGCACAGAGATAAGAAGATAGAAAATGGAAATAATGTGCCATGTGGGATTCCTATTCAGCTCTAGAGTAGGAATCTAGAATAAGATGTCATGTGGGATCTTTTATTCAGTTCTAGAATGACAGAAAATAGACATTGCAAAAGAAGCAGTATTTGAAAGAAAATACCAGGCAAGGTGGCTCACACCTATAATCCCAGGACTTCGGGAGGCTGAGGCAGGAGGATCACTTGAGCCCAGGAGTTTGAGACCAGGCTGGGTGACACAGTGAGACCCTCATCTCTACAAAGAAGTTACAAAAATTAGCTGGGCATGGTGGTGGACACCTGTAGTACAGGCTACCTGGGAGGCTGAGGCTGGAGGATCACTTGAGCCTAGGAGTTCCAGGTTACAGTGAGCTATGATTGCACCACTGCACACCAGTGTGGGTGACAGACTGAGACACTATCTTGAAAAAAATAAATAAATAAAATACGTACAATTTTTTGGGACAATTTCCCAAAACTGAAGAAAAACATCAAACCACATGAATTCAAGCTCTGTGAATCACAAGTAAGACAAATATAAAGAAAAACACAAGTAGCATATCATAGTCACACTGGTGAAAACCAAAAAGAAAAATTTTAAAGCAGTAAGAAGGCTGGATGTGGTGATTCACACTTGTAATTAGAGCATGTTGGGAGGCAGTGGACAGACGACTGCTTAAGCCCAGGAGTTTGAGGCCAGCCCCCAGCAGCACAGTGAGACCCTGATCTCAAAAATAAATAAATAAATAAATAAATAAAATAAAAAATTAGCTGGGTTGTGATGGTGTGCACCTGCAGTCCCAGCTACTCAGGAGGCTGAGGTGGTAGGATTGCTTAAGCCCGGGAGAGTGAGGCACAATAAGTCGTGATCATGCCACTGCACTCCCGCCTCGGGGGACACAGTGAGACCCTATCTCAAAAAAAGAAAAGAAAAGAAACAATGAAAGCCAGAGCCAATGTAGTATCTTTAAAGTGCTGGGGAAAACTCTCCATAAAATTCTGTATTCAGTAAAGATATCCTTCAAGATTAAGACCAAAATAAAGGCATTTTCAGATAAATGAAAACACTGTAGAAATGCTAAAGGAAATTCTTTAAGCTAAAGTAAAATAGTAGATGTGAATTTAGCATATAAGTTGGAAAGGAGGCCAGGCATCGTGGCTCACACCTGTAATCCCAGCACTTTGGAAGTCCAGGGCAGGCAGATTACTTGAGGTCAGGAGTTTGAGACCAGCCTGGCCAACATGGTAAAACCCCATCTCTACTAAAAAATACAAAAATTAGCTGGGTGTGGTGGTGCGCACCTGTAATCCCAGCTACTTGGGAGGCTGAGGCAGGAGAACTGCATGAACCCAGGAGAATGCACCACTGCACTCCAGCCTGGGTGACAGTGCAAGACTCTGTTTCAAAAAAAAAGTTGGAAAGGAAGAAGAAAACTTTTTTTTTTTGTAGACAACATGACTGCCTATAGAAAACTCTTAAGGAATGTCCCTCACCCCACCCCTGCAAAAGAAACTAGAATAAGTGAATTCCACAGAATCATAGACTACAAGATCCACATTTTATAATTTCCTTTCTTAACACTTATCTTCAACACTGTAGAAATTCTAGTCAGATAAATAAAGCAAGAAAAAATAAGACATAAACTTTGAAAAGAAATGAAATTGTTATTATTTATAGATAACATGATTGTGCACATAAAAAATTCAAAAGAATCTCCAAATCACTAAACTTAGCAAGATATTCAAAAAGCAATTCTGGCCAGGTGCAGTGGCTCATACCTTTAATCCCAGCACTTTGGGAGGCTGAGGCGGGTGTATTACCTAAGGTCAGGAGTTTGAGACCAGCCTGACTAACATGGTGAAATCCATCTCTTCTAAAAATACAAAAAAATTAGCCGGGCATGGTGGCGGGTGCCTGTAATTCCAGCTATTCTGGAGGCTGAGGCAGGAGAATCACTTGAACCTGGGAGGCGGAGGTTGCAGTGAGCCCAAATCGAACCACTGCACTCCAGCCTTGGCGACAGAGACTCTGTCTCAAAAAAAAAAAAAAAAAGATTTATTTTATTCAATTGAGTTCTGCAAGCTCTTTTATTAGCCTGATAAGAAGGCTGGAGGCAAAAGGCTATATGCTTTTCAAACCAAACTATAACGTCCATGGTTAATTCTACAGGCAATGAGGAGCCATCGTTTATACGAAGTGCCTTGGAACCGGGGTTACAGAGTTGAGTAAGATTTCCCACCCAGTAAGTATATACAAGGTATAGAGCAGAAATGAGAAAAGAGAAGACGGTCAGTCTTCTGGCAGGTGAAATTTGAGCTGGATTTTAAAGTGTCTACCAACCAATAATGGGGGATATTCCTGGTATTGAGACAGCATGTACAAAAGCACAAATAGCGGGGCACGGTAGCTCACGCCTGTAATCCCAGCACTTTGAGAGGCCGAAGCGGGTGGATTGCTTCAGTTTAGGAGTTCGAGACCAGCCTAGGCAACATGGAGATTACCTGTCTCTACAAAAAACACAAGAATTAGCTGGGCATATTGGTGAGCACGGGCGAGGGGAGCGAGACCCTGTCTCAAAAAAGAACAAATACATGGGAACTAGAAGGAATGGGACTATTGTTAAAGAGTGCTAGTAGAAGGAACTGGAAAGCTGGAAAAGAAGCTGGAAAAGAGGACTTGGGTCATGTCAGGAAGGTCCCTGACATTAAATACCTTAAAACTAATCTTGTGAATCATCACCGTCCAAACTGTGCTTTTGGGGTTCAGCAAACATTTCATTCTTTTGTTTTTTTGTTTGAGACGGGGTCTCGCTCTGTCGCCCAGGGTGGAATGCAGTGGCGCGATCTCGGCTAAATGCAACCTCTGCCTCCCGGGTTCAAGCCATTCTCCGACCTCTGCCTACCGAGTAGCTGGGATTACAGGCGTGAGCCACTGCACCTGGCCAGGAGTCAAATTTTTGAAAAAGCACTGCTCAGTGAAGGAGAGCTACAGGTGTGATGAGGACTTTTGAAACTTAGGCTGCGGAGGGAGACCCAAAGTCTGAAAGCCCAGTTACGACGCGGAAGCAGGAGGCGGCAAGAATCGCTGGAAGTGGGGAGCAGTAACACCCGAATCTCTGCGGGCACAGTTAAAGGTGGCGACAAACACAATTCAGGTCTGGGCCTGGCCCGGACTTCCCGACCCCCATCTGGCGGAATCTGCACTCAAGTCTCCGTCTCTAATACCCCGACCCGGCGCGTCATCCCCCCCTCCGACAGCAGAAACCCTGCCCCTTTCGAATAAGCCGCAGGAGTAAAGACCGAAACCAGAGTCCCATGAAGAAGCTTACTAATTTCTTCCAGAGACACCCGCCGCCTAAAGCTTCTCAAACAATCCTCGAAGCAAAACGGCCCCGCCGGCCCCGCCCCTCTCCCGTCGTGCTTTGCGGCTGGGCATGCGCAGGGACGCCGGCCCAGCGTGGTCCCGAGTGCCTGCGTTGGGAAGGGCGACCTTGGGATAGAGAGGGTGGGAGAGGGGGAGGGGACGAGTCCTTCTGTCCGTTTGGGATCTTACGCTTGAGGTCATCGCTGGCTGGCAGCCAAAGTGGGACCCTTATGTCAGAGCTCAAGCAGGACAGTTACATTTCCTGGATTTGAGAGATGGCTCTACCACTCATTAGCTGCGTGCTAGTAAGCGATTTGACAACTTCTATAAATCTCAATTTATAGAAGTTGGGGATAATTGTAGTGGCTGCATCATAGGTTTGTAAAGATTAGGCAGGCTTCTGCAGAAGCTGGACTCAAGAAAAAAAAAAAAATTAGGCAGGCAATGTTAGTAAAGTGCCAGGTATAGAGTAAATTCCCAGTAAAATGAAATTATCCTCAGAGGTAGGGAGTTCAGATTTCTTTCATTAGAGGAAGTATATTAGTACATTAAAATTAAAATGACCCCAGGCCAGGCACAGTGGCTCATGCCTGTAATCCCAACACTTTGGGAGGCCGAGGCGGGTGGATTGCTTGAGGTCAGGAGTTCAAGACCATCCTGACCAACATGGTAAAACTCTGTCTCCACTAAAAATACAAAAATTAGCCGGACATGGTGCCGGGGGCCTGTAATCTCAGCCACTCGGAAGGCTGAAGCAGGAGAATCACTTGAAGCCAGGAGGCAGAGGTTGCAGTGAGCCAAGATCGCACCACTGCATTCCAGCCTGGGTGACAGAGAGAGACTCTGTCTCAAAAAATAATAATAAATAAAATAAAACCCAAACTGCATGTCAAAAAAGGGTACATTTTGAATGTGTGTTTTTTTTTTTTTTTTTTGAGACAGAGTCTCACTCTGTTG